AACTTTGCCAATGTTCTCCACTTCATTACTGTTCTACACAACTTCCCAGGAGGTCCAACCAGAGCCAGCTAAATATCAAGTAAGCATAATCCTTTAGGACACCTGTACGAAGAGCTGCACCTCTTCCACTGATCTTTTTACTCATTTCGCCGATATTTTAAGATATACCCAAATTCCTGCTCCAAAGCAGGTCAATTTTTTGATCATCCTTCTAAAGACAGCATTTTCCATTTCACTAGGCAAATGGAAGGACATTACACACACTGCCAGGCAGCTGTGCAATAACCAACAATATATTTCTTTAATCATAAAACACAAAACAGGGAGAAACCATCAGAAACAAAAATCAGTGTACTTTTGTAATGCAATTAGAAGTTTCTTACCAATTGCAGGTGATGTTGGCTGATCCCCTTAAAAAGAGAGAGAGAAAAAGAGTAAGTAAAACTGCAGCAGAATTTTGAGCAATCATACTACCTGATGGAAAAGAAACTTTTTTCTTCAGATCATTGTTCCACGTGGAATTACATGTGCAAAAGTGAAATTTAACAACATGCAGTGAAAATCTGACCCCCAAAATATTAAGCTTATGATTTGTGGACTGATGTTCTCCACACTGAGATCCTTCTTCCTCGAGCAGGGAGCCCGTGTGGAGAGAGCTTGCTGAGGGCTTCCAGAGGACACCCGTTCAGCGCGGGAGGAGAGCGGCACTGCCGCAGCCCTGGTGCCACCGATACCTTGGGTGGTGTCTGCAGGTGAGAGTGGAGTGGAGCGTGCGGGTGGAGGTGACACAGGGCCAGGAGAGGTGGCACTTGTGGAATTGTCATCTGTAGCTGCAGGGTGGGGAAAAAAAAGAGATCAAGTGAACAACCCATCAAGACAAAGACCTCATCTCCAGTCAAGGCAAATGTTTTCATGATTTTAACTGAGGACATCCTGGTCCGATTACTAAATTTTAATGCAGTAAGATTGACCTCAGACAACATGTATCACTAAAGCAAGAAATATACATGGGCTAAAGTAGCAGTTTTAACAGTGATGGAGGTAATCCCCACTGGACAGCAGTGGATGCCAGCTCAGCTGATGCAGGAGGACAGCAGCACTGCCACAGCCCTGGTGCCACCGATACCTTTGGCGGTGTCTGCAGGTGAGGGGGGAGTGGAGCGTGCGGGGGGAGGTGACACAGGGCCAGGAGAGGTGGCACTTGTGGAATTGTCATCTGCAGCTGCAGGGTGGGGAAGAGAGACCCTCAGTTGCAAAACCCATCAAGACAAAGTCCCCATCTCCAGTCGGAAAGGCCAGCTGTTCGCATGGTTTTAACTAAGAATGTCCTCATCCCATTAATAATTTTTAGTGCAATAAATATGTATCACTAAACCAAGCAATATTTATAGACTAATGATTATGAAAATAATGACTATTTATAGACTAACTCCATCAAATGGTGATGAAGTTACCAACACTGGACCAGGAGCAGGTGACAGCTCAACTAACGATGGAGCTCAGCAACATCGCTGCAGCCCTGGTGCCACCGTTACCTTGGGTGGTGTCTGCAGGTGAGGGTGAAGTGGAGCGTGCGGGTGGAGGTGACACAGTAGAAGGAGAGGTGGCACTTGCAGAGGTACCATCTGTAGGAGCAGGGCAGGGAAAAGAGACCATCAGGTGAACAACCCATCAACCTCATCTCCAGTCAGAAAGGCCAGTCATTTGCAGGGCTTTAACTAAGGACATCCTCATCCCATCAACAAATTTTAATGTAATATGATTGTCCTCAGACAACACGTATTGCTAAACCAAGAAATATATATGGGCTAAAGTAATAGTTTTAACAGTGATGGAGGTAATCCCCATTGGACAGCAGTGGATGCCAGCTCAGCTGATGCAGGAGGACAGCAGCACTGCCACAGCCCTGGTGCCACCGATACCTTGGGTGGTGTCTGCAGGTGAGGGTGGAGTGGAGCGTGCGGGTGGAGGTGCCACAGGGCCAGGAGAGGTGGCACTTGTGGAATTGTCATCTGCAGCTGCAGGGTGGGGAAAAAAAAACATCAGCTGAACAACCCAACAAGACAAAGTCCCCATCTCCAGTCATATAGGCCAGCTGTTTGCATGGTTTTAAGCAAGAATGTTATCATCCCATTAATAATTTTTAACGCAATAAATATGTATCACTAAACAAGAAATACTTATGGACTAAAGCAATAGCTGTAACAGTGATGGAGTTATCAACAGCAGATGACAGCTCGGTTGACAAGGTAGGTCAGCAACCTTGCGTCAGCCCTGGTGTCACCATTACCTTTGGTGGTGTCTGCAGGTGAGGGTGGAATGGAGCGTGTGGGTGGAGGTGACACAGGGCCAGGAGAGGTGGCACTTGTGGAATTGTCATCTGTAGCTGCAGGGTGGGGAATACAGACCATCAGTTGAACAATCCACCAAGACAAAAATCTCATCTCTAGTCAGACCAATTGTTTGTAGGCCTTTAAGGATGTCTTCATCCCATTACTACATTTTATTACAATAAGACTGAACTCAGACAACATGTATCACTAAAGCAAGAAATACATATGGGCTAAAGAAACAGTTTTAACAATGATCATCAGTGACTTAATCGCAGATGCTAGGCCAACTGGTGTGGGAGAAGGGCAGCTTTGCTGCAGCCCTGGTGCCACCGATACCTTGGGTGGTGTCTGCAGGTGAGAGTGGAGTGGAGCGTGCGGGTGGAGGTGACACAGGGCCAGGAGAGGTGGCACTTGTGGAATTGTCATCTGCAGCTGCAGGGAGGGAAGAGCGACCATCAGTTGAACAACCCGTCAAGACAAAGACATCACCTCCAGTCAGAAAGGCCAGTTGTTTGCATGGCTTTCTCTGAAAACATTTTCTCAGACCAGATTTGATAGTATGTAGGTAACTACTTTCATGCCTATCAATATATTGTGCAACAGCATCAACTAATAACTTTAAAGTCTTCATGATGACACAGAGCAATGCACACGAACACAAGCAGCATAAACTTGCACTGACTGGCTTTTGCTGAACCAAGAATGACTTTTTTGCTAGAGAGACACACCAACACCGCACTAATAGAAAATTCCCCTCTGTGTATAATGCTCACTGTGCAAGAGGAAGGGATGCAAAAGGCAGGGTTCCTGAAAGCTCTTTTCCCGTCCTGATTTCTAAATCAGGAACTAGGGGAACCAGGGCACTTCGGGCAGCCCTGAGAAGATGCCAGTAGTGCCACAAGGTTGTGCACGTTCTGCAGGTGTTATTGCCTCAGCACCAAAACTGAAGATTGTTCTTGTCACTGCACGTTTTACCCATTCAGGCTAAGAGGCTTCCACACGGCAGTGAAGCCAGAAGGTCTTTGTGAACGCGCACCGGCTCCCGCGCGCCGCCTCTGCCCCGCTCAGATGTCTGCTCCTACACAAGCTCCTTGCTGCAACCAGCCACACCATCCACTATTCTGCTTTTCCTTTCTTCCCCTTTTTCTACTACTTCTGCTCCATTTTCCCACTCTCTTTCTTCCTGGGTTTTGTGTGTGTGTCTGTGTCTTCAGCTGTCTACATTGTTTATTATTTCTCTTTTACTGCAGCCTTCAATACATGGTATTCATAGAGTTACATGTTGTAACCCTACTCTTTTGAAGAGAGACCTTCAACTTTTAAAGGCACATTTAACTTAAATGACGAACTACACGTCTGGTTGTCCTGTTGGCAAGCCAGGGCCAAGACCTTGTGCCCCATCCGTGACACAGAAGCCAATATCAGCACATCTCCCCAGACTACGAAGACCCTCTCCTACCAAGCTGACAAGCAGTAACACACGTGTTGACTGCTCAGCAGCTACCACAGATTCTGCATCCTCGGTCTGAAGAAAACCTGCACCAGCCATAAAACCCCACAACCAGTGGCCACAGCGCTTACATGACTTATCTTTTGGCACAGAGCAGGTGATATTTTGAGCTATCAAATTATCTTCAGCCTCAGAAATACCAGGTAAGGACTGGTAACTTTGTTAACAGTAATTACATGAAATGAAGCCTGAAAACCTTGTAGGAGATAACATGAATTTTCCTACTTGTCACAAACAAGGTGCTATCAATGTATCTTCATACTTTTGAAATTCAGTGTTTGAAAGATGACAGCTGGTCACTTTAAGTTCCATTTATTATTCCTCTTTCTTCAACTGGTTTACCTAAACTTCATCATTTTTCCCCCTTCCCAAATCTTATTTTGGTTCAGTACATTAAGCACACCTTAGTCTCAAGCCTAAAACTAACTTTATATGAGCACCTACATAAACTAACTTTCACTTCAATGTCAACTTCTAAGAATAGAATAAAAGGTGTTTCAGAAAAAGTCTTAAGTAAAGCTTCAGAGGTTAGCGAAACATTTAGAAATCAAATACAATTAGCAATATCATGTACGATTTATGATTTGCGTACAATGACAGATAATGAATATTACACACAACCACAGAAGCGTTGAGGTTGCAAGTCAGGCCTGGAAATCAGCTAGTTTGGGGAAAAGCCACAAACAAGTGAAAACTGGTAGACTCCCAGATCCCCCCTTATTTGCTCCAAAGAAGCAGACATCCATGGCAGTTTTGCATCACTCTGAACATTTTGTACATCTCCTGTCCTTACCTGATTGGATTTTATTATAGAATTTATTATAGCAATAGAAGAGGATGCAGTCAATAAAAATTCAGTAGGTGGCACCAGAACACCAAAAAAATCCCCAAGCCTTCTCAGACAGTGAAGCAGATAATTCTCCCCTTATTATCTTACTGAGAAATAGTAGAAAAAATGAGGAAAAAAAAAAAAGGAGGATACCACCTCCACCAGGCTCTACATCAGACTGTGCTACTCCAGTGTCAGGAGGCAGTTACAATGAATTTAATTTTCCCAAAATATCCCACTTGCATCCAATTCCTCTGAGAAATTGCAAAGCTAACCTCGAAGTCACAACTCTAATCATGCTTATATTCTAAAACACATGGCTGGAAACTTGAGGGTTGAAATCTCAGAACATCTTCAAAGTTCAGCAAGAATGTCCAACCCCAAACAACACGCTGCGAGCTACAACTACCTGACCCTGGGTTTAAACAGGAATTATCCAAAATCTTTGCTCAAATCTTAAACTGTAGCCAGCC